GTGTGTGTGTGTGTGTGTGTGTGTGTGTGTGTGTGTGTGTGTGTGTGTGTAATTAAAATTTGACATTCTTGTTTATCTGTCAATTTTCTATTATCCCATATTAGGTAGACAATGGAGGTTCCACTCTAAGAAAGCAAACTTGTAGTGTCTGTTGATAAATTTACAGTGATTAATTTCTGAAGTTATGTATCATGTAAGCAATATCAAAATCATACAGAATTCTTACAGGTATATAGATAGTCTTCACCTGTGAGAGGAGGTTTGTGCATAGCTTCAACCCTTTAGATCCCAGAAAATGTTCACAAATATCATTTAAATGTCTAGGTCCTCTGGTAAAAAGTCATCATGGACAACAACTTAGTGAGGAATTTAGGACTGGCATGATAATTTGAAGCTTGAAAAGGTTAGTTCCAATCCCTTAACTGAGAATTTGTATTTTGATTTGAAAGATGAAACCATAGGTCCATTCTTTGACTAGCTCACAATCCTCAATTTCCCTGACATACAACAAGATGAGTCCATTATTGTTGTTTTAATGAGATTTTCTGTTTATTCCTCTGCAGCTTTAAAAAAATGGCTGCTTGAAGGTTCAAACAGGTATGAAATATTGTATGACTGTATCATCTACGCACAACAAGATTTGAAATGGGACTGGACGACCTTCAAGGAAGATTTAATATGTACTGTTTGACCAATTTGAGAACAACTGGGGATGTTCTAGTTTGTGTGCCAGATAAAAAAAAATCAGTAGCAATAATATGATGCACAAGAGATTCTCAGAGTTAAAATATTCCAATATACTCATAACTCCTTTTGGATTTGCAACTTTGGGGGCTTTTGATCATTTTAGGATCTATAGGGTTCAACAGAGAAAACTGAAACTTGGTGCAGTATCCTTTTTTTTTAAACCAAAGTTTGCATAGACAGTTTACTGCAGTGAGTGTTGTCAATGTCACGTAACTAATATATTGTAAAGAAAGAAAAAAACATTTTTTTTTTTTAAAAACTGCAGCAACATTGCTCATTTCTTAGCTCAGCTCTGATGTCCAGGCACAGAGTCTCACGAAGATTCTTCTAAGGCGTTGACTACCAGTTCAAGGATGTCAGGGCAGTGGTCCGCAATCTGCTGTAAGATGGTGTTGGCATAGTCTTGAAGTTCTGAACTTTCTTTTTCACACTGTTCCAGCTCAGCATTTAACTTTAAAACAAAAACAGACAAGGTACATATTTTTTAAGTATTTTAGTTTGAAAGAGAAGGACCAACATATTTATTCTGTTGTGAACACTTGCATTTATCTTTTTACCTATACTCTTTTCTGACATAGGGGAACATTCATTGCAACTTTGGCCAATGCTTCTCTTTAAAAGTATCTTTGCCCCATGACGAACATAATTTTGATGTTTAAACAATAAATCAAGTGATTTATGAACAAGATTATTGGCATAATCCAATGACAATGACATTGTACTGATCCTCCTTCCACCAATGCCACACTTACTCTGTTTTGAAGATACTGTGCTTTTAGGAATGGGAAAGACTCTCATTATGGTGATAATAGCATAAAGGATGTAAGCTGAGATATTAAGGTGTAGAGCAGGTCAGGCAGCATCAGAGGAGGAGGAAAGCTGACATTTTGGGTCTGGACCCTTCTTCAGAAAAAGATGTAAATTGTTTCTCTTTTGGTCATACAACTCCTAAACTATGAGAATTGGGGGAATGGAGAATTGGCTGTTTGATCTTGCTTCATTCCTTTGACTTGTAATTGAAGAGATTAAAAGCAGTCTTCATGATTTTTCCATATGAAGGCCTCACATTTCAAACCGGCCTAAGAGCACATGGAAACATTCTAATGCCTGATATCAAATCCACCAGAATGAATTTACGGGTTGGAAATGATTTATTATGTATCAATTACTTACTTAAAACAATTTTAGAATTATTCACAATTCCAAGATCATGGATTTAGACAATAAATCTGTTCATTATTACAGAATAATTTGGAAACTTTGAATCTGTACTATTTAAAGAAATTGATATGTTCTGACAATGTAAAACATTTGTACACTTAAGGAGATTGGATTTTCTTTGCTCAGATTCAGTGACCTTAGCAATGAAGTATCTGTTGACACTTGGCATTGACTTCCAAGTTAGCATTGGCATTGACCTTCAGGTACTATGCTTTCAGATACAACCAAGCCTCTGATTGGACCTCCACTAAAAGAAACATCATCTGAAACAACATCAGTTTAAAATGACTATGACTGATGTTATCATACGAACAATTAACATGGCTACAGCACATTTCTCTCTTCACTATTTTAACAGAATTGTTAAACTGTTTAAAATACATGGGTTAATGCCTTCACTGAGAGGAACTTGATGTCAGAGCATTAAGCTTTTATTTGATAACAATACACACAGTCATTTCCAGTCTTATGTATATAAATGTGTTCCGCAAGGTAACATGTTCTACTCATTTCTCCTTTTGACAGTAAAAATAAATTATTTTTCCCTCCAACTTTGACCCCAAATCTCCAAAGACTAACATATAACTTCCAGTTTCCATTACTTTGGGATGCAAACATTTCACCTGCAGACTGAAAAAGCATTTATGGAAAATGGACATACATGACACACCTGAGGCCTGGATATACAACTCTGAGACCAGCTCAAACTGTAAACAATTAATTAATAGCAGATTAAAAACCCCAAAACAACCATTTCAAAATGCAATGAAGCTTACTATTATTGTTCACAGGTGTTCCAAGCTTGTTCAGTTAAATACATGTTTGGCATAGTTTCAACTGTTAACAGTTTTTTTTTTCCCTCTCCTCTAATCTTATGCTGTCACAAAGGACATTACATTGAATGATGCCCATCTTATTGCTTTAGTACAGATGGTGTTCCTGTGTTAGACATCAGTCTCATGTGCTGTGGCAATATGCACTTTTACATGCATGATGTAATCTTGAACTATGGATAGTGAAGGTAGAGGCTCTAGTTCTCTTTTCATCTCATGGCTTAGCAGGAACATTTCCTGCTCTTACCACCTCACTGGAGTGAGTTGGAAGTCTTTTCAGGTTGAAAATAATCCTGTTTTGCTGCACTAAATGCACTTTTCTCATCAACCTGCCTTGAGATGGGGCTTGAACCTAGAGTTTCTGACTTAGAAGCAGAGATGCTTCCCACTGCACCACAACAGAAAGGGGAAAGAAAGCATTCACAATCCTTCAAGAAATGGTCAAAGTTTCAGGCACACATTTAAACTTGGACATCCCTTCACTAAGTGCACAGCAGGAGAATGACAAGAGTTGGTGGTCATTGCTCCCAACTCCTGTCCACTAAACATCAGAAAGTGACTTGCTAGATTAATGGTCTCATAGGAAGTGGATTAAGGATCTCCTGCACACCCCAAGGCTAAATATTTGCACTATTTTCTTACTGCAGACCTGGGGTCATCACTCAGTGTAACTCTGTCACTATACAGTAATGTCGCACAGACCTGTCCACCACCCCATCACAGGCATGATGTGCACTGAAGGGCTTACTCCCAACGTGTGCTGCTAGGCACTGCACTTTCCGTTCCCTTCCTGGGAAGGGCTCACCACTTGGCTCAAGTGCTCACTGACGAATTTCTTAATTCAGTGCTCATTATCAGTGGTTAATGGAATATTGGCTCCTCTTAATTGCAAAATAATCAAAGTCTGTTCTTTATGTAAATCAGAGTGGGAGTGTAATTCTTGAGATGGAGTTCTCAATTGTTGGCTGAGGAGTTGCCTTCCTGTTGTCTCAATTAATTACAACCTCTTGCATTACATACCCACTGGCCAGCAACAGACCTTCTGTGGGATTCAGGACTTCCTCTTTCCGAGACCCAGCTGGCAACCAATTAGACAGTCTTTGTTACCTGCAAACATTATCGGCGATGGCAGCGAATAGTGGCAAAACATCCACTGGAGGTCTGGCAATGCCAAGGGAGCCAGTGTTTCAAGGACATTTTCTTAGGGCAGCATGTTCTGACGCCAACCAGAGAGCAGGCAATACTAGATCTGGTAATGAGCAATGAGACTGGATAAAGTTTAGTGAAAGGAACCCTAGGCAGTGGTGATCATAATAATATTGAACATCGTATTAAACTCGAGGCAAAGAAGAATGAGTCAAACACATATGTTTTAAAGGAGATAGCAAGGATTGCATATGCTGGAGTCAGAGTCAGTACGGTGTGAAGCTGGAGGAACACAGCAGGTCAGGCAGCATCAGAGGAGCAGGAGAGTCAACGTTTTGGGCCTAGACCGTTCATTAGGACGGGGGAGGGGGAAGGCAGCTGGGAAATAAATAGAGGGAAGGGGGTGGGGCTTGGGGAAGGTAGGTGGGACGGCATTAGGTGGATACAGTTAGGGATAGTGGGGATTGGCCAGTGGGCAGGGTGGGGCGGATAAGTGCAGAAGAAGATGGGCAGGTAGTGTCAGGTCAGGGAGGCGGGGATGAGAGGGAGGATTGGACATGGGATAAGGCCAGGGGTGGGGAGATTTTGAACCTGGTGAATCATACATTTAACCACTGGGCTGGAGGCTCCCCAGGCGGAATATGAGGTGTTCCTCCTCCAGTTTGCGTGTGGTTGGTGGGATGGTATGTGAAGCACCCGCATCCAGTGCATCATCCTCCGCCACTTCTGCTACCTACAATCCGACGCCACGACCAAAGAGAGATTTCCATCCCCACCCCTATCTGTCTCTTGTAGAGACCACTCACTCCGCAACTCCTTTGTCCGCTCCACACTCCCCACCATACCTGGCACCTTTCCCTGCAATCGCAGGAAGTGCTACAACTGCCTGACACCTCGCCCCCTCACCTCCATCTGAGGCCCAAGACAAACTTTTCATATCTGGCAGGGGATCACCTGTACATCCTCCAACCTGGTCAACTGTATCCGTTGCTCCCGATGTAGCCTCCTCTACATCAGTGAGACCAAGTGCAAACTTGGTGACAGATTTGCGGAGCTCCTGTGCTCTGTACGCTATAATCAACACCACCTTCTGGTTGCCAACCATTTTAACTCCCCCTCCCACTCCCTTGGTGACATGTCCATTCTGGGCCTCCTCCAGGGTCACAATGACACCACCTGCAAACTGGAGGAGCAGCACCATATTCCTCCACAGGAGCCTACAACCCGATGGCCTAAACATGGAATTCATCAGTTTCAAAATCTCCACATCCCCGGCCTCGTCCCATGTCCAACCCTTCCTCTCATCCCTGCCCCCTTGACCTGACACAACCTGTCCATCTCCTTCCCCACCCAACTGCCCTATCCTTCCCACTGACCAATCCCCACTACCTCTACCTGCATCCACCTATCGCTAACCTACCTACCTACCCCGAGCCCAATCCCTCCTCCCTCTATTTATTTCCCAGCTCCCTTTGCCCTCCCCAGTCCTGATGTAGGGTCTAGGCCTGAAACGTTGACTCTCCTGTTCCTCTGATGCTGCCTGACCTGCTGTGTTCCTCCAGCTCCACACTGTATTGACTTGTGTTTTAAACTTGATTAAGGACAATTCTGAAGAACAGCGCTGTCTAACTGATATTGGAAATTTAGTTAAGAGTTGGGTCAGTACAGATACACTGTCAGATATTTAAAGACATATTTAAGAAAGCTCAGAAAAGACACATTCCAATGAGAAATATTCTATGTGAAGGGCACACTATCCATGGCTAATTAAAAAAAAAGTTAAAGATAGTGCCAAACTGAAAGAAAAAGTATATAATTCTTGTTTTATTCACTTGTGGAACATGGGCATCGCTGGCTGGCCAGAATTTATTGCCTACCCCTAGTTGCCCTTGAAGGTGATGGTGAATGCCTTCTAGAACTGCTACCGTCCACATGCTGTAGGTTGACCCACAATGATCCTAGGGAGGGCATTCCAGGATTTTGATCCAGCAGCATAGAAGGAACAGTGATATATTTCTAAGTCAGGATAATGGGTGGCTTGAAAGTGAATTTGCAGGTGGTGGCCTTCCCATGTATCTGCGGGCCTTGACCTTCTAGATGGACGTGGTCGTGGGTTTGGAAGATGCTGTCTAAGGATCTTTGGTGAATTTCTGAAGTGCATCTTGTAGATGGTACACACTGATGCTACCGAGTGTCGATGGTGGAGGGAATGAATGATTGTGGATCTGGTGCCAATCAAGCAGGCTGCTTT